TTAACTCTGCTTTTCTTTGCCATCTCTTCTTCAGCAGTTAATGGGACAAGTCGTATTTTGGGTAAGGTTGGGTCCGGTTCTGGTGCTTCCTCAAGAAGGAAATCGGTTACTCTTGCTTTTCGGCGACCGCTATACCGATAGGTCGGCTCAAAGTTTAGAAGCTTAGCCCAACTCCTTTCTTGGCACCGTAGTGCGGCTCGCAAGATCGCAAGGTTGGGATAGCTGTATAGGGAACGGAGGTGGGCGAAATCTGCAAAAAGAGAAGTGTTAGTTCGGTTAATAGACTTAAAAAAAACCGAGATAACATACAAGGAAGAAGACCGAAGTTAAATTACCGGGCTCTTCCTTTTTCTAATTTATAGGTCGGCCAGGAATTTGGGCTTGAAAGTCCTCAAAGTTCCCAGAGACCCAGAAAAAATCGTCGTCATTAAGATCTTTGTCCTGTGTGTGTTTAACTATCTTCTCTCGGCGGCGGCGAATCCTAAGGTAATAGACCCACCCAGCATCTTTTGAGCCGATGGAGTATTGATGGAAAATTTCGGCCAGGCCGAGGTTCAGTCCGGTTTGGTGGTTCAGTGCGGCTATCCCCATTATAATGCGGTATGTATTGGTGGACAGTTGGGTGGGGCATAATCTAGTCTGCCTAAGAAATTCACAGATCAATGGTTGGACGGGGAACCGTAGTCCGGTTTCTATTATGGATTGAAGGGTAAAAGGGACGAAGCCTTCATTTTCCCAAGGAATAACATCTTTTTTGGCCAACGTCAGATGGACGTCATCAGGAATTTGGTAATCTTTCCTAAATTCGGCCATGCCACCAGGGGTCTCAACTAGATACCTATACTTACCCATCTGATGTATAATTTACTTATAATTTATATCGGTGCAAAAATCGTGCTCAGTAGCTCGGTTGAGCGCACGCAGGAGTGCCTGGGTAACCTAAGTCTGCAAAGTAAAAAACAGAGGGGGTTAAAGCACTGATCAATGGACCGTGCTACAATTTAAAAGCAAGGTATAAGAGCCCTACTTCGGCCTCAAAAAACTGGTTCTATCTCGGTTCACCAAAAGGTTCGGTAGCTCGGTTTGAGCAGGTTGCTCGTTAGACCGGTTTATCGTCTAGGGGCAGCTTTCTGAGTTCGGTCTAAAAAACTAAGAAAGCTGGTTTAGCCCCAAGGCCTAAATCGGTTGTAGTATGAATAAAGTTACTTCGGATAAGCCTCTAGGGGCAGCTTTCTGAGTTCGGTTTAGAAACTAAGAAAGCTGGCTTGGCCCCAAAAGCTTAGTTCGGTTGAAAACCGAGGTTCCTAGGTTGATATGTTCAAAACTCGGTGTTCTTATTTCGGCTAGAGTGAGTCAAGCGTTGGTGACTCTTTGAGACTTTCAAGTTCTAGTTCGGTTATTGACTACAGTGATCTACCTATTTGGGGCAAACAGGATCCTAGTTCGGTTACTACCTAATTTTGGATCTAAGGCAAGTTTTTTACAGAAGTTCATGCATATATGAGCTCTATTGTTTCATGAAAGTACAGAGGCGAAGCGACAAATGGAAGAAAATGTTTGCAAAAAGCATACAAAACAAAACTATACAGATTCGAAAGCAAAATAAAGGAAGCAAAGTGAGTCTACTTACCAGGTGGAAGAAGAGGGATCTGATTATGGGAAAGTGGCAGCAAAATCAGTTCTCAAAAGTGAAAGAAGAACACGAACAGCAAGAACACAGAGAGAGAAGATGAAGAATGGAAAGTGAATGGTTCAAAGGCTGGGAGATTGTTTTGTGGAAAGAAACAGAGAGGGCGGGAACTGTTCAAAAATTGCGAAACACGAAGACGGCGTTGACAGCTGCCTTCTGCGAATGGGAGCATGCCACGTGTATACGGAAAGGGAAGTGTTACAGTCGTGATTGAAGAGACGTTTTGACAGGACAAAGTGAAGCCCGAAGTAAAATTAGCTCGGTTGGAGAGCCCGAGGGTTTTTCACTCGGCTGGAGAGGCTAAAGGGTTTTTAGCTCGGCTGGAAAAGCTTAATAAACTCTAGCTCGGCCAGTAAACTGGTAATCCCAATCATGTTGCACAGATGGAATTAAGGGGCAATTGAGAGGGCAATTTTTGGGAAAAATTGGGCCGAGCTGCGAGTTGGGCTTTGAGGCCCAAAGTGCGAAGGACTAAGTAAAAAGGCCGTAATGGTTACATCGGTCCAGGAGAGTAAGGTTACTCCGGCCTAGGAGAAACGAAGTTACTCCGGTCCAGGGAGGTAAAATTACTTCGGCTCAAGAATTATAAAGTTACTTCGGTTAAAGGATTATAAATTTACTTCGGTCCAGGAGCAACTTGAAGTTAGACCGGCTTTGAAGTTATGTCGGCCTTAGATGTGTACCGGTCTGGGAGTTATACCGGTCGAGAGTCGTTGGTCCGGTCCAAAACATGCTATGGGTTGAACAGGAGAAAACCGAGGTAAGGAAGAGTAGAGGGAGAGCCGAACTAAGGATAGTTCGGCCTACTCTGTGGCTCAGCATAGCCAGTTTTACTCCGAACAGGTGTTAGTTCGGCCATAGTGAAAACCATCCCACTTGGTTTAAGCAGTGGGGGGGGTGTAAAAGGATAAGCATCATCTTTTAGGAGTATGAATCCTAGGAGGACTCTGCATGGAGGAATAAAAGTCCTACTAGGATTATGCCACTCGAAACCTATAAAAGCTCACAAGCATCACCTTGGAGGAGGTAATTGAACACAATTTTCCTGAGAACTTAGAGCTTTGTCTATTTGTCAAGTTTTCTGACTTAGGCATCGGAGAGGTTTCCGGCACACACCCGCCGGCTAGCTCACGTTTGTGTTTTCAGGTGACAAAGCGACGTCGTACGGAGGAGCGTGGACTTGGTCAACAGGATTATACGAGGAGAATTATTTCCTCCCCGTACACCTAGTAAAAATTATTTTGATTATCACTTTCATTCATTGTTTGATTGTTTAAATTTTCTTTTTAGAATTTAAGATTTCAAAATAATAAAAAAAACAATGATATCGATGATAATGGTGGGTTTTGATAAGGTGGATTGAAGTTTTGGAATGAGAAAGAAGAAGGAGAAGACAAAATAACTTTGATCTCTTGGGAAAGAAGATGTAGAGATTTGAATAGGAATAATGGATTAGGGTGTACAATGAGACCAAAAATATTATTATTTTAGGATTTAATATGTGTTGTCCTTATTAATAAATTCACATTAAAATATAATAAAAATTTAAATTTATAAATTTAAATTAGAAGTACTGAAATACTTTTTGAATAAAATAGAATGCCCCCTTAGAGCATTCTGAATGCTTGGACCTAATTTATTGGGTCAAGCTGTCACTGTAGAAACCATTTGTCATCTTAGAATATCCTCAAATCAAGTTTTTGCCAATCTAACCCCAAGGTCAAGTTGGAAAGTAGATTTTAAGATTTACAACTCTCATAGCACATGACACATTCATATGAAAGATAGACCTAACAAGGCGGATAAGAACTTGTGCCAAAGCATCTGAGAATTGATAGCACAAAATTGGAATTGCAACTTTAAAGCGGTGAAGCAAGACCCAAATGTTTGCGCTGATTGTTTTGGCTAAGGAAGCTATGATGATGGTTCAACGGCAAGCTCTCTGATTGTCCCCGCCATCTGTTTTACCCTTGATAGCAAAGTATGTTCAGAGGATTGCCTCCCTTTGTTGTTTTGTTAGTTTTTCTGTCCTTAGGCCTCCTTTGTCACTGAATGAAAAAAAGAAAAAAGGATACGTGTTAGTGTGGTAGACATGAGGAATCTTAGACCACTGGGGACTAATCTATATACGAGGGTCAAATTATATGAAGTTGACATGTTTAATTCAATAAGTAGGAAAAACACTATGGTACACATTTCATAAAGAGTGTATGTCATATGCACCTTATATCTAAAAAAGAAAATTTTATAATTTCATACTTTCTGAGTAAAAAAAAAATATAATTAAACATAACATGAGACATAACTAAAAATTTCATGAGTCATAACTAAAATAATATTATAATTAAAGAAAAAAATTGATCATAATTAAAAAAAAATAACATAACTAAAGATACATATGATACACTGATTTCAAAGGGAGTGTATATTAGAATTTTTCTCAATAAGTAAGCCAACACATAAACCTTAAAATTTTACTAATTCCTAAGTTTTCTCTCTAAGTTCCTTTCCCTAACTTAGTAAGTCTTTAAGGTTTGCTCATTTGGTAACTTTTAATTTATTTTTTTTTACTTATTTTCATCTTTATTAAGTTTTTAGATTCAGCTTAACGAGATGAATCGAAAAAATAAAAATTTTGAACATAATTTTAAAAAAAGAATCACTAAAAACAAAAATTAAAAAAAAAAAAAAAAAAAAAACATAGGTGGCTTATAAGTTATATATATGTTCCCAAAGCAGTGACAGAGCCAAGAATTTAATATAGGGAGGCACCTATTAATTATAATCTCAAAATCTTTCTTCCCCACTCAATAACAATAACATAATAATAATTTTTCAAGCTAATATTAAACATAAAAAATTAATATTCATTAAAAAAAGCTTTTAATTTTAGACTTTTACAATTGACCCGACGAGTTTTCATCTTTTGAAATCTTTCCATGATAGTATCATTGTCAATGCCATCAAAAATATCTCTCCCAATGTAGACAACCAAGCTATCATTCATCCATTCATCACCCATTCGATTCCGCAACCGATTCTTCACAATATTCATAGCTGAAAATACCTTTTCAACAGTAACAGTTGCAACAGGTAAGATTAATACTAAAGTTAAGAGCAAATATACCAATAGATATAGTTTGTCTCTTCTAATCTTCATCATTTTCTTAGCAAGATTGGCAATTTCATTCAACATTGAGAACTCACTACTAGATAGCATGTCGATAATATATGTATCAAATTGATCATTAAGTACCATAAGCTCCACTAAAGAAAATTCTTTGGGATAAAATTTAGCAAGATGAATTAACTTTTTATTGTCAAAACTAGAGAAAGAGTTAGATGGATTCAAACATGCCACACAAAGTAACAACTCAGTGTTCGACTCAGTGAAATGAGCATTTAGTTATTGAATTTGCATATTTAAAACAGTGTAGAATAACTCAGCGCGATAATGATGTAAGCTTGTAATTTCTTAAGCATTGCACATTTTTCTCCCTTGAGCTACAAACATATCATCCATTTGGGGAACATCAATTTCATACTTTTTACAAAAAGACAAAATATCATCAAGTAAAGATGTCCACCCATTCTCCTTCATCTTTTGGAGCCGTACTTTAGAAATTTGAACTAAATTCATGGTATTAACAATATCTTGATCTTTCCTTTGTAGTGCTTACGATTACTCACTTGTAATAGCCAATATCATTTTCATCAAATGAAGATTGAATACAAACTCAAATGATTGAATTGAGTCCAACAATATATTTGCTTCTACTCGTTGTTCTGAATTTGAACCATCCTTCAAAATCATGTCAAGCACATCAATCACTGTTGAAAACATACTAGCCAAGCTGACTAAAGTACCATAATGTGAACCCCAACGTGTATCACAAGCACGTTTAAGATTAGTTTCTTGATTTAAGTCTTGCCCACTAGATAGCTCTCGAATATTAAGTGTCTCATCAACTTTTACAGCTTGCTTCTCCCTAACAATATCTCGGCGTTTACATGATGCTCCAATAGCATTCACCACAATAGAAACCAAAGTGAAAGGTAAAGAAATTTGATTATGATTCTTTGCCACGGCTACAAGTGCCAATTGCAATTGATGAGCAAAACAATGAACATAATATGCACAAGGATTCTCTTTCAGTATAAGTGTTTTAAGACCATTGAACTCACCTTGCATATTACTAGCCCCATCATATCCTTGACCCGCAATCAAGAAATACTCAATCCAAGTCTGGAGAATAAATTTCCACAGCTTGTTTGAGTAAGAGAGCATTCGTATTAGTAAGATGCTCAATACCTAAAAAGCGCTCAATCACATGGCCTTTTTTGTCAACATATCGTATTACAACTGTCATTTGTTCCTTGATGGATATGTCACGGGCTTCATCAATCAAAATAGAAAAAAGTGCATCACCAAGATCTTTAATAATCACATTGACAGTTTCAAATGTGGCCACATTTACAATGTATTTTTGAATACCAGGAGATGTCAACTTGAGATTTTGTGGAGCATTACTCAATGCAACCACTTTGACATATTCATTATGATCAGCAAGAAACTTGAGAAGTTCAAGAAAATTTCCTTGGTTACTTGAATTTTCAGATACATCATGCCCACGAAACGCAAGTCCTTGTCTTAGAAGAAATTTGACACAATCAACCGATGCATTCAAACGGGTTTGATACCCAATTCGAGCTTGATCAGATTGTTTTAAAAAAAATCATTTGAATATGTTGGTTTTGGTTTAACAAGTCTTGACATTTACTCGAAGCTTGATTATAGCACTATTGGGACCTCCAACATGAGTCTGAATTTTTTCTTTTTTATTCCAATTTGAGAAACCCTCACCAACAAAAGAATCACCACCAGCTTGATCTCTAATATCAGGTTTGAAAAGATAACAACATAAACAAAATGTTGCATCTTTTGCTACGCTATACTCCAACCAATTAGGAAATTCACTGAACCAGGCCTGATTAAATTGCTGAAGTTTTTGTCCAAATGATTTTTGTGGAAAATTATGATCACAAGGTTGACAAGGACCTTTTTGTAAATATGCCCTACGAACTTGGTCTCGATCATTAGCATTATAGTCCATAATCCGAGGTCGTAGTCCTGGATCTACAGGAAGGTCTACTAAGTTGATTTCTGTACGACTTTGTTTTGCGGAAGAATAATTATCATCTTCTTATTGAGAAAGAGATAATTCCAACTTTGATTTTCTTTTGAAATACTTTTTCCATGACTGTTTGAAAAAACTAAAAATCAAAATAAAAATTCATAATCAAAATCACAAACCCCCACAAATCAAAATCTCCAATTTTAATACAAATCAAAAAAATTTAATTTAGCACAAATTACAATAAATCAAAATTTCCAATTTTAGCACAAACTATATAACTGTAGACACCCCATTTTTGACCGATCTTAAGACTCAGACATCACCGATTGAGCGCTCGGTGACGTTGCATATCGTGCTCGTTCAGAAGTTTCAGAGTCGCAGCCGTGAGCCCTGCCTCCGGACTTCCGAACCCTCTTCTGTGCCTTGCCTCGGTTTGCGAACCAGACTCGATTTTCTCTGTTTCTTTTCCTGAGGGAAGGGAGAGGTCCCGTAGACCATCTCTCAGTGGCCGTGGACTACATTTTGTGGCTGTAGGCCATTTTGCCCATTTCGGAGCCCGGTTTCCGGTTTTTCGGGACCGTTGGCCGTGTGCCTCGGTTCGGGACCGCCTAACCATCTCCGTTTGCCCCGATTTTTGGCATACTTCTTATTTTCTCCCTTTTGAGGGACACTGAGGTCTGAGAGACCCACTTCGTGGTCGAATACCACTTTCGGTGTTTAACAGGCAGTTTTTAGGGCCTCGAACTGCGCGTTTTGGCCCCCGAGCATTCGTTTTGCATCGGTTTTCGTTCATTTTTGGCAGGTACCTCCGTTTCATCACCAGAAAGGTCGTAGAAGGGTGGGAGGCCAGCAATTGTTGCAGCAACCAGTTATATTCCTCCGGCGCCCTCCGACGCCCGTTTTTTCTCACTTCCGAGCCAATGTTAAACAACCTTGAGCCTTTTTTTTGAACTTTTAACCACATATTTGTGTTGTACACACATGGGAGGACACCAAAAGTTGGTGGCCGGCCAGTAATTCCATCTGACCCTTTTGACTCCCCCCTAAAAATGGCTTGTTTTCTCTCCTGTTTCACTGTTTCCAAATTCGAACCACAGGGTTGTGTTGAGAACACATCGGAGGACACCAATTTGTGGTGGCTGGCCACTAATTCACCTTGACCTTTTTGACCCCTAGCCGGCCGGCCATGGGAGGTAGCCAGCCGGCCACCTGCAGCTTTGAAAGTTGGCCGGCCATGATCCTCACAAAGTGTACTTTACAGCTGTATAGCTTTTGTCCCCCAAAAATATCTTGATCCGGGGGACAGCTGTTGGGGAAAGGACCAAGTCCTTTCCCCCTACCCTTTCCCTCCATGCTCCCCCTCTCCTTGGTCCATATAACCAGCTGCCATCTCTTGTATTAAGGGTTAGAAGAAATTGCTTTGAAGCTTTGCATTCATATCTCCCTCTATCTCTCTCTTTCAAACAAAACATCCTAAGTTCTACCACCATTTCTTCATCACCACCAAGCACCACCACCACTACTCCATTTCCAGCAGCTTGAAGAGCTTTCCAGCAGCTAAGAGGCACCACTTCTCAAGCCAAGAAGCAATCAAAGACTTGTCTACAAGGGTGAGTTTCATTTCCCCCTTTTTGGTCCATTTCTTGTATCATTTATAAGCCATACATGCTTGCTGTTTTGAGCTCCAGCCCTAACTGAAAGTGGCCTTTTTTTGAGCTATTTTTCACTTTTTCTTAAGGGCTCAACCCTGTTTGAGCCCCCCATCTTGCACTTGCTTCAATATCCTCCTTGAATGCCATTTTCTTGCATGATATTTTTAGCTTATGTCTGATCTGTTTTGGAGCATGATGTAAACTGTAAGTAGGCTTATTTTGAGCCCCTCTCCAACATTGAAGAAGGGCTCATCACTGTTTTGGACCTCCATGTGCCACTTGTCATGTTACCCCTCTTTGGTCCCCATTTTTGCATGATTTGTTAGCCTATTTTGCTTCTATTTTGGGGGGGGTTTTCAGAACTGAAAAAAGTCTTATTTTTGCCTTCTATTCATGTTTCATTGAGGGTCTTTCATGGTTTGAGGCATATTTTATATACTTTGTGTTATATCTCTCTTTTAATCCCCATTTTTGCATGATTTATTGGCCTATTGTGCTTCCATTTTTAGACGATTTTTAGAACTGAAAACAGTCTTATTTTGGCCTCCTCTTCATATTTCATTAAGGGTATTTCACTGTTTGAGGCATCCTTTATATACTTTGTGTTATATCTCTCTTTTTTGGCCATATCTTGCATGATATTTTTGGCTTGTATGCATGCTGTTTTGGGACCGGCCATCAACTGTAAAATGCATTATTTTTTGTCCCTCTTCAGTGTTATAGAAGAGTCTTTCTCTTTTTGGGCCTTGCATCTACCACTTGCTCCTTTGTCCATCTTTTGGCCTATTTCTTGCATGAGGGTTTAGCCATATCTGTGCTGGTTTTTGTGGTTTTCCATAAACTGTAAAAGATCATTTTTTGGGCCCCTCTTCAACTTTGTTGAAGGTCCCTAATCTTTTTGAGGCCAGCAGCTGTGAGTTGCTTCTTAATCTCATATTTAGGGCCATTCTTGCATGCTAATTTTTCCCTATTTCTGTTTGCTGTTTGGCCATACTTTGAACTGTAAAAGTGCTTATTTTGGGGCTGCCTTGCTTCTGTCTTTTCATTCCATGTGCCAATTATGCATGCTTTGTATAGCTGTAAGCCATTTCATGTACCTAGTGTTGCATTTCGGTTTCATTCCGTGCATTAGGTGTCATCTCGCCTTGTTTCGGGGCTGTTTTCCCCCTCATTTTGCTAACTGATTTTTTCATATTTTCATATCATATTTTATGTCTTTGCCATGTCTCATTAGAGTGGCATTTCGGTGCCTGAGGGTCGGTCCTCAGTTTGCGTGCACGCGTGCACGCATTTCGAGTTGTCTTGTTTTCATCTGATGGCCTCTTATGTGAGTGTGGCTGAGGCTCTCTCATGTTGGTGTAAGCCCATTATTGCATTGCGTATGCCATTTCATCCATAGCATTGTGTATGCCCGGTTGTGTATTACCTCGTATAGCGTGTATGCCATTCCATAACATTGTGTATGTTAGGATTGTATCTTAGTTGCATTTCATGCATGTCATGCATATTGCATTGTGCTCGGGATAGGAGTTAACTCGGGCACGGGAAACGAGGCGCATTTCGTACTCCGAGTGACGGAATGTGTCTCAATTCCCCAGTCGCCGACACTCCGGATCATCCATGATGGAGTTAGGTCTTGTTGTGTTTCATGTGCATTCATTTCATGTTAAATTGTGCAATTTGACTCCTCGGCATCATGCCTCGATATGCGTGATTGGTGGCACGAGGATCGAGGCATGCATATAATTGTGAAAATACATTGCTATGCCCCTTTCCTGCTCTCTGTTGCAGCAAAATGAAGAGTCAACAACTTTTCGGAGCTCGGCACACTTTCCAAGAATAACTGCTAAAAAGAGGCTAATTGGGGCATCCCGGTGGATTTCCGCGCAAGGCAGCCCGGACATGCATCATTCATCAGAATCAAGGCAGTCCCTGGCTTGCACGCCAGATTTACAGCTTTCTTAGTTAATTTGTAAATTAATTAGGAATTTGTACATTATTCGGACTGTAATATTTGGACTGTAATATTCTTTTATTCGGGACTTGTAATTTATTACCCGGGACTGTACATTTATTCGGACCTCTGTGCGAGGGCATAATTGTAATAAGTGTGCGTGTGTGTGTTGTATGTCTTCCAACCCCACGTCTTTTCCCTTTTATTTATCCGCTTATGATGGTTAGATTAGGGCATGTTTTAATTAGCATACAGTATGAAGCATGTTTGCATCATTCATCTGTTTTGCATGCACCGGGCTTCGGCGCATCATCTAACCGCATTGTATTTTCAATTCCAAATTGATACATGTTAGCTGTAGCATTCCATATGCCATGTTTAGAATAGCCGAGCCTGCTATAGTTTGCATTTTTGCATGTGTTGCATCAGGCATTTCTGTATACTTAGGATCATGCATGATTTCTAATAAAGTCTCTGTTTTGGCTTGGAGTCCCGGTGAGTTTTATGCTTTAGCATCCTTGCATGCGTGTGAGTGACTGCCATGATAGCATGCTTGCCATGAGGCTATTTGCTTATGTGATATAACTGCCTGAATGCCTGTGGGTGAAGGTTGGGTTATTTGGATTGGACAATTCATCAAATGTTTGTTTTAAGCCCACTAGATAGTGGCAAAACCATCTTTTCTAAGCCCACCCGAGGGTGGCAAAATTTGCATTTTAAGCCTACTTGCGAGTAGCAAACCATCTTTCAAAAAACAAACATGAAATGTTTTGTTCCAATTCAGGCAATCCAGTCTATACTTGTATGCTGTGCGCATCACATAGTAACCTAGGCTAATAACCGGAATAAGAACACATAATGTTTTCAAAAATAGATATCATGATTAGTAGAGGTCGATCTTTGAATCGGGCGAGCGGGGGTGCTCACGAAGTGACCTTCCCCAATCGTACCCAAGTTCCCGAGCCGAGGCAACTTTGGTGATGACGGACACGTGGCCTTTGGCACGAGTCAGGATTTTTTAAATTTTCCAAAATAAAATATTTAGGTGGCGACTCTGTACCTGGCAAAGCAGTCCATGTTTGGCACTTCTTTCAAAAATCTGTTTTCTCAAAACGATTTGTCGGATTTGGACTCTTTGGTTCAGATTTAGAACCGTGACAAAATTTGAGAGTCCTGAGCTGTAGTGACCCCAAATTAGAAACTGTAGACGTCCCCCGAACGCTCCCCGGGAGGGTGGAGCTCCCGTTCCCTTCGTTTGGGGTCACTACAGCTCAGGACTCTCAAATTTGTCACGGTTCTAAGTCTGAACCAAAGAGTTCAAATCCGCAAATCGTTTTGGAGAAAACAGATTTTTTTGAAAGAAGTGCCAA